AGAAAACGTGCAAAAGCGTGTATTTAAACTCGTTCCCACTATCTGCGGGGTCCCGCAGCAAGACCTGACACACCCACCCACACACACACACACACACACACACACACACCCACACCCACACCCACACCACACCACACACACACACACACCCACACCCACACCCACACCCACACCACCCACACACACACACACACACACACACACACACACACCTGTACCTGCACATTGCAGACTTGTAGGTTAACGAAGTACGTCATGCACATAAGATACATGTGTTGTATTCGATCCTTTTGTTGCTTGTCTCTGTCTGTGTCAATGTGTAGAGAGTTTCCAGCAGAGATGCCAAATATGTAACTCAGAGAGACCTGCATCTATCTACCCAAGTCGACCGAGCATCAGTCAATCAATCGATCGATCGATGGAGCGAGCAAGCAAGCATGCAAGCATTCAAGCGTTCTATCTACTTATCTACCTACCTGCATGCCCATCTATTTTGTCCATCTATCCATCTATCCATCTATCTGCCGATCCATCTATCTATCTGTCAGTCTGTCAGTCAGTCAGTCAGTAGTCAGTCTGTCTGTCTGTCTGTCTGTCTGTCTGTCTGTCTGTCTGTCTGTCTGTCTGTCTGTCTGTCTATGTACACACATATCCATACACTTCCTATGTTCGCACCTGTGCGCGTGACTGAAACAGACAGGCATGTGCAGCAGATTCACAGCTGAGAAGTCTTCAGTGAGACGTTTGGGTACCATTCTCACTACCTACTCGTATCTTCGTTGAGAGGCCGGAAATAGACGAGTCCATGCGTTCCCCTGGCGCTTCGATGCTGAATGCGTATCAAGCACATCATGTGCCCAGATCGCGGTCTCCAACTTGTGAAACTTCAAGAGCAGAACCCACTAGTCACGGTCCGGCTTGGAAAAGCCAAGAAGGGACTTCTGGGTTTCCTACCGGTACGTCCCAATCTCGAGCAAATACGTGTTAGGAGATGTGCATACCTAGCAACAATACCCGCAGATGATCTGTGAAGCCTCACGTTCCTTTCGAACCCTAAACCCTAAACCCTAAACCCTAAGCCCTAAATGGGCAGAGCTTGCAGTCTCTGGACAAGTCGATCTAGGTTCATGGGATGGGGCCCTGCTGAGTGCAGCTTTTCTGCGGCGAGGAGGTGGTTGGCCCTCCAGCAACGGCCAAAAGGGCGGTGACTGGCCGGATAACTCAGGCATCGCAGAGTTTGGGGGCTTCCAACTTCCAAAAAAACATATATACATATAGCTTTTTATCTACAGCCATATATATATATATATATAGCTACATAAAATATATATATATATATATATACATACCCTAAACCCTGAATCAATTGAGGTCCCGAGAGATTTGCTCGGCTTCCATGGCTTGAGATGTGGATGATCCTTCAGGAATCTAGAGAGTCTCCCCATCCTCTGACTGTGATATCAGGCAACCACCGCCCATTTTCGCAGTGCGGTATGAAGCCTGGAAAGTATGAAGTCGTCTGCAGCCACAAACTTTGGAACCTTGGAGGAGGCTGGCCCCAGAGCAACGGCCAAAAGGGCGGCGGAGGCGTGTCGGGAACGTGGCGGCTGCAGTTCCAGGGCCGCTTCCCTGTACGACGTAAGGTATATTTCCCTAAACACCAGACCCCATGCGCTAAACCCTACAATTTCTTACTTAAGTTAAGGGATAGGGGAATCTTGTCTCTTGGCCTCGACCTCCATCTTCGTCTTAGCTCCTGCATCCATGATAAGTCCTGCACTTGTTCCCTAAACCCAAAACTCTACTAGACCCCTAAACCCTTCACCCCGAAACCCGAAACCCGAAAAAGCCGAGCACCCCGGATTTTACTTCCTCCCTCAATCGAGAAGCAGCAGGTGGCTGGCCTGGAGGCGACGTTGGAGCAGGGAGCAGGGCCTGTAGCTGCTGCCCGAAGAGTTGGAAACTCCATATCCCCATTCCCTAAACGACAAAAGTATACGGGGTTACAGTTACATCATCATGACAGCATCATGTACTTATATGCAGCTCCTCCCCTTTTGGAGCGGAGCTCTGGGACGCATCGCCAGGAGACAAGGGCGGCGGTGGCAAGGGCCCAGGAGGCCCCTGGGACGCCCCGGCCTGGGCCCGATCTCTTCTCTAGGTGGGTTGCTCTTCTCCATTTACGGACCATGAAGACGCAGTTGAGGGTGCAGGGGGTTTTGGGTTGAGGGTTTGGGATTTTGGGGGGTTTGGGGCTTTTTAGGTTTCGGGGCTTCGCGTTCGGAGCAGTCAGAGAAGGAGAGTTGAAGTCCGGTAGAAATCGCTGAGGCACCCGGCTCGGGCTGGCGTGGGCCTCAGCAGCCGACAGACTTCAGAGAACACTGCAGCTTGCAACAGCTGTGGTTGGCTTGAGATGAAGTCGTAAGCCCTTCTTTTCTGTGAGCGTCTCCCGTTCCCGGCCTACCCGAAAATGGAGTGACTAGGCTGACAAGTGAGTTCACTCTCGTGCTGGCTGTCGGGCCAGCCAATCTGAAGCCCCACAAGCCCTAAACTGTGGACCCTCCACTTAGGGGTGGTGGCGCCGAGTGGGGAAGCAGCGGGAAAGGCCGGCGACCCAATTTGAGCAATTACATGGCCTCGTGTGCCTTTGATCATAGACTTCCATGGACATCTATTTAGGGACCATAAGGGATGATCTTCCGACTCATGGTTCAGGCTTTAGGCATCCGGACAAGGCTTGTGCGGGGTCTGATATGATCAGATGAGGTTAATGTTTGCTCAACCGTAAACCCTCAAACCCCCAGATTCTAAAGCAAAGCCCTACACCCCAAACCCTCAACCTTCAACCCTGAACGCCTAAACCCCTAAACCGCTACCCCAATGTAAAACCCCTAAACCCCTAAACTCTAAACCCTTCAATGGTAGCCTGCGGTGCCGAGGCGCCCTTGGCCCCGCTGCCAGCGACGGCAAAGGCTTCGGAGGACAGCTGAGACCGTTTGTGGTTTAGGGTTTAATGTAGGGGCCTTAATAATTCGAATAGGTTTTGGTAACAAGGATCCCCCCAACACAGTATACCATAATAATAAGGAGCCCAAAATAGTTAGGGTTGAGGGGTTTAGGGCACAAGGGTGCCTTTCACTCTAAGGTAGGGTTTAGGAACCCATCATAAACACTCTTCAGTTTTCTGTGGCCTTGGAAGGACCCCCCGGGGGCAAAGGCGACCCCGGAAGTGCATCGCCCTCGGAGCTGCAGGAGCTGAGAGTTGATGCTGGAAGGCTTCAGGGTTTGATATAGGGGGCCTCAATAATTACCTATATTGTTTTTGGGGGTTCCTTATCATAATGAAACCATAAAGGACCCTAAAATCCTATTGGGTCGTTGGATTAAAGCTCGTGTTGCGGGCAAGGATTGCTGAGACTCATTTGGGAAGTGGAGGTTGGAAGAGTCGTAGCCGGTTGTTATTGCTGAACTGCTTGAACATGGATAACATTGAATTCAAGGCAGAGTCCCAGATCTCAGCAGAACTGCATCTAGAGCAATCCTGGTTCAGCGTTATTTTGCACTTAGATCCTCGTAGCATGCCTTGGTTTGTCCGGGCGTTGAAAGCTTGGGCACTCTCACCAGAAATGCACTGTAACAGCCTGAGCCTTCGCCCGCTATGTAGCCTAGACCCTAGCCCAAGCCCGTATATGCGTATGTTATTTGATGTAGCTGTTCATGAGGAGTTTGACACATTCCGCACTGTCAGTAGAACACTAGTACCAGAAGGCATTGCATTATTGGTGTTGTTCCCGTTCCTCATAGTTATCGCCACGGCATAGCTGATCGTGCCTATGATGATTAGGAGTAGCATCGGAAGTAGTACCCGTACCCTTATCATATCAGTATAGTATCCTCACCATACCCTTATAGTACCCTTGCAGTACCCTTACGGTACCCTTAGAGTATCCAGTATGTATCAATACCATTGGCCACTGCCACTCGGCTCATGTACCCTCAGTGCCACTCTTCCCTTTCGCCGAGGGCTGGGGTGGGTCCTCCATGAGGCGGATCCCGCGAAAGGACTTGATGAGCAGGTTGTAAGTTAGAGGCAGACAAGGAGAGCCCTGCAGACCTGAGTTCAAGACTGTGCCGTAGATAAACCCTGAACCCTAAACCCTAAACCCTAAACCCTACAGGGCTTTCATGTCTGGTTTGAGGTAAACTTCTCATCTCGTGGTGTGGGGCAGATTCTAAGTCCTCCAGATCCCGTAATTGGGCGCTCCTCTTGTTCTCAGTCGAAAAGTGGGCAGCGAAGCCGGAACCCTCAACCTTGAGCCTTCAACCCTGAAAGCCCGAAACCCCTAATCCCTAAACCCTAAACCTTAAACCCTAAACCCTAAACCCTAAACCGAAACACTGAGAGACGAGGTGCCCTGTCCTCACCCCCCACAAAGAGCCTCCTGCCAGTGGCGGCTATGGCGGAGGCAAGGGCTTCGCCAGCGCCTGGGGGCCAAGAAGGCTTGCATGCCGGCCCCACTTCGCGTTAGGGTTTTGGCTTTAGGGTTGAGGGTTTAGGGTTTAGGGCCTAGGAGCTTGTGCTTTGAGTTGAGGGCTTCTGCCTAAGCTGCAACTGGCATTGACAGTAGTTAGCAAGAGCAGACAAGAAGATCCCCCCCGCGTTGCCCTGCCGTCAGTGGCAGTTTATTGTGGGCCTTCCTCTGGCGTGTTGGGGGTCTCCCTCCTGGCCCAGATGATGAACGTGCCACACAGACCCAGAAACCTGTGAAAATGAAACCCCAATCACGATGGTCGATCTCCTTGCGCTAGCCCGTTTAGGACCTTCATATAACCTTCATAGAAGCCTTTTAGAACTTTTGAAGAACCTTCACAGAGCCCTTGTGGATCCCCTTGCAGACACCAGAGCCCTAAACCCCAAAACGCCGAAGCCGTTTAGCTAAACCCCTCAACGCCCCTAAAGCCCGAAACCCTAAACCCCGAACCTGTACCTTAAACCCTAAACCATAAACCCTAAACCCTAAACCCTAAACCCTAAACCCCTAAACCCAAACCCCCCAAGTCTGCGCAGTTCTCTGAGGTCCCGGGAGGTACCTCGAAGGGAGCGGGTGCAGGCCGGCGGCAGCCCATCTTGGATTTAAGGTTTTTAGAACATTTGGTGCTTTAGGGTTT